TCTCTCTCTCTCTCTCTCTCTCTCTCTCTCTCTCTCTCTCTCTCTCTCACACACACACACACACACACACACACACACACACACATACCTTTTAATAATTAAGGTTACATAAAATAGGACCACCATCTAGGAACGTCTGGGTTAAGTCACAGCTCTCAACTTTGGGTCTTTTTCATCCCTATTTGTGTTTGATTTTGTCCTACAAAGCCTTCCCTACAATGGAAATTCTGATATACTTCCCCAGACCAGAAAAGGGGTGTCTCTGTCCATCTGTTACACGGCAACCCAGTGTGAATTGGGTTTTCTGTCTGTGGGTCCTCACCTGTGCGCTTGAGATTCAACTGCAGACACACACAAAAGGTCAATAATGGGTTTATTCACAAGGAAAAAGAAAAGGACAACTCAGGGAAAGAGAGAGAGAGATAGATACAAATTAACTAATGCGTCCTACCAGTTCCACTGACCTGGAACCCCAATAGCACACTGAAAGCTGAGCAGGAGCCAAGTGAGCAGCCACCAGCCATGAGGGAGGGGAGGAAGAAGGGACAGAAAGAGAAAGAGCCTCAGCCCAACATGTCCAGCTTTATATACAAAACCCAAAATGGCTGCTTAACTCCACCCTGGGGTCCGTCCTAGCATTTCTCCCTTTGATGTTGCTGGGAGTTGTAGTTTGGGTGTCTGGAATGACGTGGAGTCTGCAAAACCTGTATCTGTAGAGCTCGTTCGGGACATCCTTGTCCCCTAACACTTCCTTGAGAATGATTGCTACCTAAGAGCGCTGGCTCACCTTGCTCTCCTTTGTATTATTTCAGAACATGGATTCATTGGGTATTCACCAGAACTGCTGCAGAACAACACCCTGCCGGATTACAGCCCTGGGGAGTCTTTTTTCACTGTCTTTGGAGTGTTCTTCCCAGCAGCCACAGGTATAGCAATCTGGATTCTTTTTCATTCCACTTGAAGGATATAAATGCTTGGTTTCCAAACTCAGCATCACATTCAACTGCATGTATTCTGAGAGTGAATAGCTAACTTAAGAGATGATCTTAGTTTTGCAAAAGCGCTTAAATAGTTCACTGTACATGTAATAGTTTCCTTGTTCATGATTCGCAAAGGCCCCAACCTGCATTACTCCTCTTACCCCGTATTCTTAATATCCACACCACTTGGCAAGTTACCAGGGGCACAGTTTTCCCATGAAGCTGTACAGGCTGGACTGTGCAGCAGGCCATGTTGACCTTTTGACCCTGGAACCAGTGCCAGCTGGATCTAGAAACTCCCCTTTACCAACGCTCCCCAGCCCCACATCCACACCTGTGTGCTTTCTCCCGGGAAACAAGAGAAATGTGACCATTTTTGATTGTACTGGGAGTGGGCAAAAATCAGGATCACGTGAGCAGGGAGTGAATCTCCTTACACTACCTACCTCACTTTCTGTGGAGGACACTCACAGCTGAGGTTCCTAAAGAACTCTTGTCTCATGCTTGGGGTACAGACCTGAAGTCAGCTAAAAGTCTACCAAATGCCCCTTAGGTAATAAACACTTGGTGGGGACTGGCTTGTCCCCAGGGCCCCGACTCAGAAAAGCACTCTTGATTAAGGTGGTCTTGATGCTCTGGACTGGGGCTGATCTTGGATTATAACCCTCCATTCCTTCCTGTGTTTTCCCACATGGGGCCATTTCCTTGCTTATTAATCTCACATTTAGTTTAATGTTTTGCTGTTGCTAAAATTCTTAGCTAATTTTTGGATTTTTTTTTGTACTAAGTCCCAGAAACTGTGTAGCAAATTTTGTTCTTATTCCCCTGTGCTTTCCCCAGCCATTCTGTGGTTTCTTTTCTACTTTCTTTTCTACTTCCTCACACCCCTAAAATCTCCTAAGGCCCCAGACTTTTGAGAAACAGAAGCACAGTGTGTAGGCAAATTCTACTTCTTCCCTGATAAATATTTCCCCTAAGGCAATAAAACATAGGCCCACTTCCTCTGAAAGGACAGAAAAAGAAAGGGAGAAGTAAAAGTTTTATTATCAGTAAAGTTACAATGATCAAAATGACACCATTGAGTGGTGAGGGATTTTAAAAGTTAACATTTGAAAATATTTTCCAGGCCTCTCCCCACACAATCAGGGCACACATTCAAGAGCCCTCCCTACTGGATCTCCTCAGACGTGACTTTGGATCTCCTCAGACGTGACCTTGAGCCCCACGTTAAGTGAATGACCTCTGGCTCAGGCTCCAGTTAGCAGTTCCACTTGAGGCTGGCCTCCTTGGCCAGCAGTGGCTTGAGGTTTTAAGACATTATTCAGTAGTAGTGCAGAGTTTGAGCTGGACTAACATTTGTTTTTCAAAGATTTCTTTATTTATGCCTGAAGAACTGGGGTATAGGCCAGAAGTGTGGGAGGTGATAGGATTCACACGAGAGAGTGGGGAGAACAGGCAGATCGACTGAAGTACACTGCTGAGGGGAGCAGCATGGGAGACAGGAGAGGTCTGTTGCCCCATGTGGGTCAGCTCCCCTGGTCAGAAATTGAGCTCATGTCGCAGTGACTGTGGATAGCTTCATAGTGCTACGCTTTAACTCCTCAAGGAGGCCCCTGGACTAACACTTGTCATCAGCCAGTCCAATAACTTTCAACTTTTATTCATTTTCATCCGTATTTGTTTTTGTTACTTTTACTACAAAACTCCTCATACAACGGAATTTCTGATATACTTCCCTGGACCAGAAAGGGGTGTGTTGGTCCTTCCTTGAGAAATATTGCTATGTATGAATATTAGTTAAGCTTTATTTCTGTGGCCTAAATTATGAAAGCATTATTTCCTAACATTCTAAATACAAAATTATAATACTGAATAAACTATCTTCTCAGGCTTCTTCTACCCCGCCCTTCTTAGGGGATATGCTTTTGTACCTCCAACATTCAGCCCAAGCAGGCTGGGAATCTCTCACCTGAGTATTTTACCAAGTGGGGAAGGATGAATATAGAGGAGCTTATGAAGGATTGCTAACAGTCACCCACCTAATTACTGACCGGAGTTGGGTCACCATCCTGCTGTGGAGGGCTGCCCTTCCCTGGCTCTCTTTCTGTTTGCCAGGGGCCCCAATGTAAACACAGTAGGAGGGAAAAACAATTTGTATCAGTTGGCTTTCCCTGACAGATGTTCCATTGAGCTATGAAAAGCATGGATGATTGGCAGTTTCCATGGTGATGGATTTGCCAAGGATTAGCTCTGAGTGAGTCATGGCTGAGGCTCCCTCCAACGCCATCCTCTTCTGGAACAAGAGAACCTCCAGGCTGTGGAGAGGGGGAGGGGCGTTTGGAGGAACACTTCAGTCTCCCCACTCTGTGTCCCTGTACTTGGTCAGGGACATATTATTTATGTCACTTCAAATGTTTGCTCTCAAGGACACTGAGGCTTCTTTTGAAGAAGAGCTGGAAAGTAGGTTTGGGTGGCTCCTCAGGATTCCTGTAGCCCTCCTGCAGTCCTCTGTCTTTCTCATTGCTCTTCACAACACTCCTTGGTAGTGGCTGCAGGGTGGGGCTGGGACCTTGGAGTAGATTCCTCATTTGCTTTGTTTCTTAAAGCATTTTCCTTCTCCAAGCTATACCACCAAACTTTCCCTGAAAAACAAAAGTCCCCCTGCAGGTGTCTCTCTCCCTCTCTCTCTCTCTCTCTCTCACAAACACACACACACACACACACACACACACACACACACACACATATTCACTCTCTTTCTCTCTCTCACTCCAGTGATCCTGGGACCACAATGCATGGGGAGAACTAAGAAATGGAAATTCACTGGGAATAATACCAGTGTGTGAAGTCATTTAAATCCTTGTCCTCAGAACTCAAATTTTTACTGGAAGGGATAAGGACCTCTTGTGGTTGGCCACACCCAGCATAAGAATACAGGAGTATGAGGGAACAATAGCCTTTATCAGAATGCCTGTTGTCCTCACCTTCACAGTCAAGAGCTAGCTATTTCTGTGACATCCTTTGGCCTCCCTGGGCTGGCCTCCTAGTCCCTAATTCCCCTGGGGAGATCTGGGAATGGGTGCTGTTTGCACTCTGGACATCAGTTAAGGCTCTTACCTTCTGCCATGTCAACACATCCCATGAAACACCAGTTTGTGTCTCATGGTTGACAAAACAAGGACCTGCTGGGCTAGAATGGGGTCCCCAAGTTGAGGGAACAGAGACCCCTAATTAAGGGGGTCTTAATCAGATTCTTGATTAAGGATCAGAAAGGAGGGTCAATTCCCTCCACCTCCCCATAGCAGTCTGACGGACTTGTAAGCAGGATTAGGCAGAAAGGAAGCTTTATAATTATGATGCCTGTTTATTTTTGTAATTTTATTATAGAATCAGTTTATAAGCGTATCAAGATTATGATATATATCTTCAGTAATCATTGTCATTATAATGGCCTTACATCAGGCACTGTGCGGCACACTTTGCATATTGTCTTTCATTTAAACCCTGCCACTGGTTCTGGCAGACACAGTTTCACTGTGAAGCTAATAAAGCCTTGACCTCAGGATTCCTCACTTGTGTGAGCTCCTTTTAAAGCCGTGCTCCTAATTCATATTCATAATTCTGTCTCTTAAAATTTCAAGACCCAAAGAATCTGAATCTTTCTATGAGTTCTATTATTAGTCCACTTGACAAACGAAGAAGCAAAGACACGGGTTATTTCTCAAGGGTCACCCAGACAGTAAGGGGTAAGTCCTATTGCTTCTCTGCACTCCGAGGAGACCCTGAAAGAGAGGACACACAGTTATCTGCCCCCAACTCAGAAACCAGGAGATCTTGCTTGAATATCCTGCTATTGGACACTGGCTATGCCAGCAGAAACTTTAAAACATGGTGAGACTGTGGGACTATAAGTTTGCCTCTGGGAGTAGAGTGAAAAAGAGTGAAGGAAAACCAATAGGAGCGAGGGAAGCGGTGGGGCTTGGGTAAGGAGACAGCCCCAGTGCTTAGGAATCCCCAGGACGTCTGAGTGGGGAATGAAGTCCATCTTTCCCAAGTTACATTTACTTAGACCTCAGTAAGTGCCAGGCATTATGCTAGGGACCTCTAAGTGTTCCCTCTAACTTTATAAATAATCTTATCCCCTTACAGCTGAGATGGAAAAATGCATAAAATGATGTAAAGATAAACTATTATATTATTTAAAAAATAATAATAATCTTATATCCACACGCGGAGGAGGAAACCGAGAGTCTCAGGACGCAGCCTCCATACTGTCATAGTCACCTTTCTTCACCAAAACAGGTGGCAGAAAAGATGGGGGCACTTCAGTGCCTGGGTATTCTTCCTGAATCACAAAGAAAAGGGCACATTCATAAACTTAAAAAAGAAAATAGGCAGCAGAGAAGCGATTAAACTATAAATAGAGAAAATTAAAGGTTTCTAAGGACACAGATTTGGATTGAAAAACTCCCTGGAGGAAGTTTGGTATTCCTTGATAAAGAGTCAGTAGTCTTTTAATGAACAACTAACAGGAACCAGAAAAGCCTAGAAAAACTATCAGGCATTTTTTTACTTACTAATTTTCATGTGCAGGAACAAAAAAGAAACTAAGGCAGGAAATGGGATTGTGATGGTAGGCACCAGGTGGAGTCTTTGATTGATGTGTGCTGTGGTGGACCAAAGGGCAGGGAGAAAAAGAGCCATGATCTTGCAAATGTTGGCAATTCGTTACTTGGCATTTATCCTGGTTATTTTATCCACTGGCATATTTTGGAGATGTATAAGGCATCGATTCCTCCATTCCTCTCCTCAATATTGATTCTATTCTAGGTTCAGACATTGAGCCAGGGTGCCAGCGTGGCTCCCTGGTCACCCTGTGCGCCCACCCCAACCTTAGGCATAATACCAATGCCCAGGAGGTGATGGGTGATGTTGGCAGGCTCACC